TAGAGTTAACATATTCAGTTGTAAACCTGGCTTTTACGCTTTTGCGATCATCAGACAAAAATGTGAAAACCACGATCACAAACTCATATCCATACAACTGCAAATGAGATATCTGTTATCTGTAAGAAATAAGAAGATCTTACATAATATGCTGAATTCTAGTTTATCAGTTATCTAATGAATTAATTTGGTACTTATTTTATTTTTATGATCAAAGACACTTGCTGTTCTCATCATTGTGGGACACCCCATATATATATATATATATATATATATATATATATATATATATATATATATATATATATATATATATATATATATATGTATGTATGTATATGTATATATATATATATATATATATATATATATATATATATTTTTACTCATTTTCTTTTTAAGAAATAGGATTCCATCACGACACAGAGAATTTTCATGTTTCAAAGCTGAAACTAAATTTATAAATTTAATTATAAAAATTAAACTTAGAATCCATAGTCTCGCTCCATTGTCAAGCGATGATAGGAATAAACATTCAAAGAAATTTTATTAATTTATAAGCGCAGACAATAATGATGTTATGAGTTGTTATGGTTGAAAAAAATCTATTTTAATCTTGGTCTGACTTGGTTTTAATTTCCCTAAAGTGCTTATGCTTCCAATATATGTTACTTACAAAGTCAGGTTAAGTTTAGGTGTGGCGGGGATGTCTGCTAACAAACGTATATTTCTGTTGTTCATTTAGTCGTCTTTATTTTTCAAAGATAAAAATAAAACTAGGCATTTTCATTCATCCACAAATACATATTTTTATACACAAAGACTTTCTAAAAGGGTCATTTTAATATGTACAAGACATACTATTAATATTTTAATTTTATAAATTAAATCCTATTCTTATAGTTTCAAAGTACCATTCGACATTCTAATAACTAATTGACTATAGGATATTTTTACAAATAAATATAGTCGAATTTAATTATTAATTAAAGATCAAATATAAAAATTGTATTTTTTCTTCTCTATTCTTTATTATTTTACATTTTTCAAAATTAATTATTACTTAAGAAACATATTTGACATATATTATTTTTACATATTTGCATATTATTATTATTATTATCATTATTATTATTATTATTATTAAAGCTTTATCCGTCTTCCGAATTAAACCGTGGTTTTAAAATTCTTCTTTCTTAATCCGGAATTTTTGTGCGTGTGGTTATAATTTTCTGCGTTTAGCATTACAAATTTTTGTATTTAATCTGTTCTTTCTTAATTATAATTAAAAATTACTTAAACTCTTTGCTTATGTCATTTCTTCGAAAACCTCCTTACTACGATTAGAATCGACTAAAATGTCATCTTAATCATGAGATACAAACACGATTTGCGATTTCTGTTCTGCTGTTATTCAAACTACTGTCGCTCTAACCATCTGAAATACTTTCGTACGATATTCGTGTAATTAAAATATATTATATTACAGTGATAAAATTAATCAAAAATATAAAAAAAAATGTATAAGAATTAACAATATATTATATTACAGTAATAAATGAAAATTGATATGGTTAACGTGGGCGTGTCTCCAGACCTATCAGATCGTCGAGGGACTATACATAGTAATTCCTCTTTTTAGCATATCCTAGGTCTTAGAGCTGTAAATTTTATTGAATAGTGAAACCCTCTTTCACTCTTGTCTCGAGAATATCAAAGGAAAAAGTTATTTTGCATTAAAGAAAAAATTATTTAACACATTAACTTAAAATTACACACACACACACACACACACACACACACACACACACACACATATATATATATATATATATATATATATATATATATATATATATATTGGGTTGTCAGCAACTCTATAGATAAGACCTATCAAAGGGCGAATGAACTATAGACGAGAAAACGGCTAGCTAAGTAGAGGTTGTATCTCAATAAATCACTGTGGAGAAGGCAAAGGGAAACCACTCTCCTATCAATCCCAAGAAAACACATGGCTTTTATGAATTAAATTATGAAACATTGAGAAATAAAAAAGGAGAGGGAATTGTGGAGATTCATGCCCGGCATCGTTCTAAAGGGATACGGCAGATAGAAGGACAATCTCATGTAAAGTAAATTGCGAAAGAGTATATGGCAGGTAACATGAAAGCCGAAACAACTACCGGCCCCTCACCTTCTACCCTGCAGTTTAGGCAGTTTACACCTTCAACAACGGAAATTCGATGATTCCATTCACAGCGCCATAGCAACTGTACCACTTCCTTGTTTTTGTGAACCTATTCTAACAATTACTTTTCTCGCAATGCTCACCTGTGGAATTCTCGTCCTGCCTCTTGCTTTTCCAATCAATTTTGACGACTTGATTCCCCCCCCTCTCTCTCTCTCTCTCTTATTCATATTCTTTCACACACAGCAGCCTTTTGTGCCTTAGTGGTTTCATTACATGCTTTGGATAAAATGTCTTTAAAAATACCTAGAGCTCCAGAGATCGGGGGAGTTTCTATTTTTAGCAAAACATCCACCCGGAACTCCTTTATTCATGTGACCCCGTTGAGTAAAAGTCCACCTGCAACTCCCTTACTGATATGGCTCCTTTGAGTAACAAATCCACCAGAACGCCCTTATTCATATAAACCGTTTGAGAAAAAAACAATCAACCGGAACTCCCTTGTTCATATGACCCCTATGAGTAAAAGCTCCACTCCGACCTCCCTTGTTCATATGACCCCTATGAGTAAAAGCTCCACTCCGACCTCCCTTATTCATATGAGCCATTTGGGTAAATGACCAAGAAATTTGCTTGGGAGGACAAAGTATTGCATTAACGAAAATTATTTTTTTTAAATTATTAAAACATTCTACCAAGCATTTTATTCTAATCAACTACATATTTGTTGTAGAATATCAAGCATGAATATGTTATCGTTTGATTAAATATTATTTCTCTACTAGAAAGTGAAGGGGCTGGATTCAAATTAGTTTTATTTTTTCTAACATCAATAATGGTTTCATTACGTATAGAAAAATATCATAGTTGTCCAAAGTATAAATGCATAATTTATCTCGATATTTTCTCAATTTGCCAC